ACACACACACACACACACACACACACACACACACACACACACACACACACACACACACACACACAATATTTCTTTTAGTTTTAATGTATGAACACAAAACTGACAACACAACACCTGAAAACTAGCCAAAAGAGACTTGAAATCGCCATAATGAGTCAACCGTAGAAACACAAACAGGTAGAAACAGAGGCTACAAGCTTGACTGCTTATCACTGCTTTTGTTAACTGCTGAAGTTCAGGCTCTGGCAGCTGAACTGGGGTCTGCATACACTCAGCTTTAGCATTACGCTGGGTTCTTGGCTAGCTTTGTGTTAACATGCCATCTGTGCAGATGCTTGCCGACAGCACAAGGTGCACCATCAATATAATACAGTTGTTTCTGTCTTAAACCCAGCTTGCACTTTGCCCTCACACACGTCCATACTCTCACTCCTCAAACGCTGTAGAATGCTCCACCATTTCCTTCATCCAGGCACACTTACTGAAATCTGGTGTTTGTAACACAAATAACAACATAATTGCAGCTGTTATGTATTAACTTACTTAAGTTACTGCATGACAGAAAAATGTAATGCGGTTAAAGTAATTAATTACTGCGTAACTATTTGTTGAGGAATTTCTGTTTCACATCTTTGAGGTTCAGGCTGGACTCTGAATGTAAGCAGTAGATTTGCACCAGACTACAGACTTGTGATTTTTGTCAGTTTATCACAGTAAATATTTATTTTTATTATCACAAACAGATTGGATGTAATCACCAAATCAACCCCATTCACTCACAAACTGATAGCAGACCAGGGGCAGACTGACTCATCTTATTGCAGATTTATCATTGTTCTGATGCGCCAAAGTCACTTTGAAGAGTGGAATAGGCTACCAAATGTTTGAGGGCCTTGTCCAAGCAACCACTTCAAAAGACTCATCAGTAAGTTGTTATAATTTTGGTCACGCGGGATTCTCTGGGCACTTTTTTCCCTGGTGTGACATATATAACGCCAACAAGGCGGGTCTTCACTATGTTATGAATCATCAATCCACAAAGTTTTACTTACTTACTAATTAGCACCTGTTCTGATCATCAAGAAAGCAAAGTTAGAAAGTAGAAAACTTTTTTGGCTTATGCACTAGGCAAGCAATTCTCTGAGTGCTCTATCCAGTCCTCTTGGTTATGCTGTTATTAGCTGATACAGCCTGGAGCTGCTAGCCTGCAGCAAAGACGAGGGGCTGCAGAGATCACTTTCTCTGTCTCCACACCTCAAGATTTTATTTTCTCTGACCCACCTGTTTTTTATTCAAGTGACATCACATTTGTCAGACTTCACACTACAGGCATCAAAGGCTGCATAAAACTTAAATCACATATGCAGTTGTATTCCCCAGTACTGGTAAGCAGACTTTGGTGGTGTAAAATTTGTGGAGCTCGCCTTGTTCTTCAAGACACGACCTCCTTTTGGGAACTGTACCTTATAAAGGAAAGAAGGCATTTGTTTCCAGTACAGGTTGGCTGTTTGAAGTCTAATAAATGTCCTTAAGGTATGCTACTGGCAGTGTGAAGTTAAATAAAAGAAACCCCTCTCTACTTGATACTAATAAAACACCAGAATCTCTGTGTCACCGGTCAAGTTACATTGCAAGTGCTAGTAGGCATTAGGCTTCTGACAAATTGGAACAGTTTTTGGATTAAAAAATGTAACATATCTGAACTACAAAGAGAGATATGCAAAATGCTTCGGGCAATATCTTGTGCTTTTACACATGATACAGAGTTTTTAATTCTTGCATCTTTTCACAAGGTCAACTACAAAAGCAGATTCTTCTTTTTTGTTTTCCCCACAAAAAAACATTAATGATAAAAACAAAACTAAAATTGAATGATGATGACCAATTCACCCCAAAAGGTAAAACCAAGGGCAAAATTTAGTTTCTTTTAAGCGTTTTCAAGAAAAGGTACCACAATAAAACTTGTCCATAACTACTCAAGTCAATCACTTCCCATGTGGCTAACTATAAAATGAAACTCAACGATAAGCTCAGCAGGGCACAGCTGATGTCCTTCACAGACTTAATTGTAGATACTGAACAATTAATCACTTTACGGTAGTAAAACTGAAGAGTGCAACGCAAGCCATAAACTCTGAACATTCAAAATAAAAGCTGCACCTTTTGAAATGGGTTCATTTCAGCAGTAATAAAGAAGTTTTACTTTGAAAGGTAACTTTCTCTATTTCTAGTTTGCATCTAGTTACATCAACTTTTTTCAATGGCTAATTAAAATTTGCAGACAAGAGAGCATCTTCCACACAAACTACATGCAACTGTGACAACCTGATAGTGACAAAAATGGGCCAGTACAGTCTTTGAAACTGGTTTTACCCAGTGACAGCCAGCCTGCACTTGCCAACAGGTTGAGGAATACAAATGTTTCCCTAGCGAATGTAGATTGCCGGGGGTAGGGTGCTGGCTGGTCTTTAGGCCTGTGTAACTAAGGCCTAAGTTGCTTTAACTTGTCTACAGTCGCTGTAAATATACAAGCTGCTTTACAACACACCTCCAACCCAGCTGTTACTTTCATGCTGGAATCAGTGTTAAATTGTTGCTGATGCCTGTTCTGCTTTATGCCGTTAGAGCCTTGTCTGCCTTGGGATTTTCATGCACATGGGAGTGCCAAGAGCTCCTAGAATAGAGCCATGCAATCAGTCTTATCACCGTCATGGTCCATGGTCCGTGATGGATATAGTTGCAACAAGTAAATACCTACGTAAGAGTAAAGACCAGGCTGCTAGCAGAAATTCTGAAATATCTTCTACAGAGACGTTTGGAAGTTATTGAAATTCTTCTTTTAGTTTTCTGCAGAAAAACACTTGTAAGTGTTTTTATCCCTTTTCTTATTCAACATCATCCAGAAAGTCAACAATTGACACTGTTTCCTCTTCTGTATAAAGACCATTTGTGGATTATTCAAAGTAACTGCATCATCATTTCAGGGAGAGACACTATGTGGATTTTTCACATTTCATTTTTCTACATTAGACAGAGCAAGTGCACACTAGTCAGACTGAGCACCGTTTAATAATTAAGTGTGTGAACTGTGCCTGAATTACCAATTATACTGTAGCCCGAACAGCAACCCATTAGCTGTACCGTGTATTTACTCTAATACTTGATCATTCACCGGGGCTCCTGAATATCGAGTGAACAAACACGGCTCATTTTGAAGTAAAGGTGCACAGTTTCACTGGTAAAAATGGTCTCTGGTTCACCACAGCCAACATCATTATTACTGTAATTAAAACTCACACAAACTTTAGCAAATAGTAATTGAGATGTGGAGGCGTGTTCAC